TATTGCCTAACAGGGAGCAGCTGCCTGCCAGATTTAGCGGCGGCTGACAGTTGTAAACACACTCTTATCTAGTGATTCAGGAGACGCAGGCCTGCCAGAGCAGTTACCCACTGTTGACACGGGTTTCTGTCAAAAGGGGCACACTGAGCACACAGCTTTGTTGATAGCACTGTTGGCCTGAGGACACCGGAGGCATATTTAACAAATGTTTTGTACTGATATGCATGCTTATGTTTAACTTATGACAAGAAATCAATTTAAATGCAGCAGTTAGTGCAGGATGTTTACAACTCTGGCACCATTTGCACTGAAAACTCCCTCACCAAAAAGCACTCACACATGCTAAATATACCTCTTTAAAAGCCACTCACAGACTGCCACTCTTGTTCACATTTACACACGCAGGCGCACACAGTGAGCTATTGTGTCTGAGAGAGTTCAGGCATCTGGAAAGCAGAAACCCTCTCTGGTGACCTCTGACCTCTGGCGGTCGAGAGTCGCAGACTGACATGAGGGTCTCAGTGAGACTTTCAGGTGACTCAGAGGGCTGTCAGAGGTCTATTAAAGCACTATTGTGTGTGGTGTATGCAGGGTTTGTTGTGTCTCTGCAACATTAGCTGATCAACAGTGATAAGTGATGAGCAACAAACTATCTTAGCTTATTTTAACACATCAAAACATTTTGAAACTCAAGGCTTTTTGTAATTCTTTTTTACAGTGACTTAGATTAGTCTAACTGGAGGCCATGTTAAGTCGTTTAGGACGTGTCTTATATTTTTGCATTGTTGTTCACAAGAGCAGTGCACACCATGTGTCACACGGTGTAAAACTTTCAGGTTATTGTCATCTAATGACCCTGTCCCAGAAATCCAGTGACAAGCCTTTTGACAAGGATCCAAGACAAACTGGTTGGTAGAGTTCAGCATTCACCCGCACAAAGCTGCCGCTTCAGGGCTAGAAACATTATTAGATATGCATTTGCAACCATTCACTTCTTTTGTCTATGCAGAGAGCCTGTTGTTTGTTTGATTCAGTTATGCTGCGACCTATTATTCCTGCTGTGTTTTCTTGTTGGCTGGTGTTTAGGTGAGTGTCAGTGCAGCTGCAGTGTACCCTGTCAAGGTAAACAAATGGCCAACAGAAGCTCCCCCCTGCTTGCTGCTGGTAAAACGCCAAGCCTCCCAGCAAACTTCATGTTGCTATGTGTCGCCATGGTGATGCAATCACAAAGGACTCCAGCTGGTTCTCTGTGCTTGTGTGTGTGTGTGATAGAGAGAGAGAGAGACGGACAAATGGACAGAGAGTGGGCAGACGGAGCCAGGCAGTAACTCTGATTTACCCTCGTCCCTCCTCCTCCTCCTCAGACTTGTTCAGCTCTTCTTCTCTGTTCACTATTCTCTGCCCTCTCCCCTCTGGCAGACCCTCATCCCAAACACAGCGCAGCTGGGCTCAGCTGTCAATGTTCCCCCATACCGACCGCCCCCTTTCCTGGCCTTTGTATTTGTTTGGATGGTGGTGGATTTGCCCTTGGCCCCCGCGCGGGGGAGCTCGTTCCTGTTAGCTAGCCTCTTAGACCAAACCGTCTGCTCTTTGAAGTGGCCTATCACACAGATACACAGATTGGAGATTACAAGGCAGCCGCCTGCCTTCAATCTGTCCAGTAACATGAACACAGTGGTTAAATAAAGGAAACAGCATACACCTATGCAGACACACAAATGGGACACAGTGATCAGCAGAGCCAAAAAAATAGATGGCTAAGCAAGTCTGTTTTTGTTCTGAATGCTGGAGAAATGAATGGAGACTTTGCTTTGCCTCAGAGGAGGGAAGAGGGCTTTCTTTGATATTATCAAGGGGGGTGTGCTCTGCCAAGACGAACTGCTATTCACACCAACTTGTCGGCATGGGACTTTTGAAGCATTTGTCAAAAGAGGGATTTGGCAGAGAACCACTAGAGTTTTGTCATTCACAAACTCTCCTCTTCTTTGCGATGACAATACTCTCAGCAGGCTGCACCTACCTCTGAGGGAAGGGAGATGAAATTCCACAACCCCACTCCCATTAAGTGAGGAAGTTACTCCCAGGTTTCTTTGTTGCACAAAAGAGAATATGAGTGTTGCCTCTCCTATTCTGTGATCAAAGCTGCATAAACCTGATATTATAAAGTAAGAGAGAAACTTTTTTTTTTTTTTGTGTGGTCGTCAGTGTTTATCTGTGGCTGGTGAAGAGAGTTTTCCACATTCCTTCTTAGGGGTCTGATGGAATCCTGCGTCACATTCCTACTTCACTCCGTCCTTGACTGTCTGTGTGTGTGGGAGGTCCGGGGGCAGCGGCGTTGTCTAATGCTTTCATGGCTGCAGGAGGATCAAACTATTTTCTTATCATTTCTGTGAAAACTGGAAACTTGGCCCTCATCTTATCGGGACCGTAGTTTCGCTCAGATGCTTTTCCTTTCGCTATTGTCAGACAGACAAGAGTTAGAAAATTCAGAGTTTTTCTAACAAAGGGACTTTAATCCATTCATTTTAGCTGAAAGTCTGATGACGTCTTTACACCCTCGCATAGCAGTCATTGGCATGGGGCAGGTCATTTTTGACAACAACTCCCTATGGACGGAGAGTATATCAGTGGCAGGAAGTCTGTGGTCTCCCTTGATGTGGAGAGGTTGAAACGTTAAGCTGGGTTGTGTCAGTGTTATTTTTATGCCTCTGCAGGCTCGTGTGTGTGCGTGGGCTTGTTCTGACTCCTGAGTGTGTTTACTCAACCTGTCTCGGCATTCAAGACCCCTGTCATTCTCTGGCGTGTCTGGCTCTCGCAGTGACAGCTAGGTGGGACGCGGCGCGTTGTCTCCTGTTTCATACGGCGCTTTATCGAGCGAACGAAGAGGAGCACGTACCCACACAACACAGCAAGAAGCGCACACGCACGTACACACAAATGTGACTTTTAGATGACTTCAGGGGATAGAAGCTCTGAAAGGGGGCTGACATTCTATCCTTTGAACCTCCACGGCTGATAGGGGCAAGACCTCACCCTCTCCCTCTGTGTGAGTGCGTGTGTGTTCACTGTGTGTGTTTTTTTTTGTTCTCTTGTGGGTCTGTACTTAGTGACCTTTCTGAAGATTAGCCCTGGATGTCGCTCATATTCACTAGACATCTGTGAAAAGTCGAGACACTGGTGCATATCGTGGCATGCTCAGATAATTCCCCGTGAGATGGCTTTGGCAGTAATTCCTACATATGCAGTATATCTCAAAAGAAACGCACATGACATTTAGCTGCGGAGGAAAACACAGTAAGTCACTTCTTTTGTCTTTCTTGTGGTTTGGTACGCCACCATCAAAGACACTCATATTAGCAGCTGTGATCTCATCTCAACGCAGCACTCATCCCATCCGAGGACTTTCCAGCCTGTCAAAACCTGACTGAAATCTCGACGGGGATCATCCAATCACTGCGGGCGAGGCAGGAGCGAGGTGGGAGGACGGGCGGATGACTCTGACAAACCAAGAGGATGAAGTCAGCCCTCTGTTCACCTCCAATGTGTTCGGGCCTCTCTGTAGCTGTCAGTGAGATGGCAAGACACAAAGCAAACAACATCCCGCTCTAATAGTTTTAGACATGGCTGCTCATGCTGGGTGTGGCCGGCAACAGTTGTCTGCTGCACACTGAGCAGCGATCCCGCCACGGTAGGATGTTTGTCTTTTGAAGGGATTAAAGGGATCCAGGAAACCCGCTGTCCTAGTTTTGCTGCACAGCACAGTGAGGGCGACCTAGTTTTGATGATAGCGCCAGGCCAGGAAGGAGATTCCAAGGCATAATGTAGTTAGGACGTGGCTGATGTTGTCTTTCTTTAGACGGGCTATGCTTTTTATTTTTTTCTGTCTGTTGGTATGTTACAGACTCACAGACTCAGTTTGTGTGAGAGGCTCCATTGTCTGTGCAGAACCTGTAGCTGTAACCTGAGAGGGAGAGAGCGCAGACAGAAAGAGGGAGAGTGTTACCGAGCAGCACTATGATGCTTTTTTTTTTTTTTTAAGTATCATCCATTTGCTTGGATTTAACACAAAGCCTTTAGACTGTACTGAGCGCTCCAGCTACAATATCATTAAACGTCTGCACTTTACTGTAAATATCATTTAAATTACAACTATGCGACTACGCATGTAAACAACAGCAAGGGCTATATTTGGCAAAGTCAAATTCCTCTCGATGTGTACAGTAAGTGCGTAGAGGGCTTAACCATCTAGATCAGTGGGTCAAGTGGCTGACATAATCCTATTACTGGACGAAGCTCTGATTCGTTAAAGTTGGCCCTAATCTACTGTCCATTTTGACTCCAACACAGGGGCCTAAGACCTCTGTGTAAACTGTCAGGGTGTCAGCTGTCACCAGAGTCATGTGGTGACATCATATATTTCTATGCTGTATGTTATACAGCATAGAAATATATGCTGTTTCCATACTTTCATTCACAAATTTCGACTTAGACATTTCTGCTGTTTCTGCTTATTTTACGTTTGTACTTATGATCTTCTTCATGTTTACTTTTTCTTGGCTTGACTGTAATTATTTGCAGCTGCATCAACCCAGTTGTATCTTGACATTCAGGCCTTAGTATGCAAAAACACGTCCTACATAAAGCAACTGGGTTGTACCTTTCATTCGACCCCCTCCCTGCTTGTTAAACACGTGCGTCTGTCAAACTCTACATCCCCAAGCTTGTTATGCAGCATTTTCATTGAAAAATTTCGAGCCAAAGGCAAAATAACCCCGATGACATTCTCCGAGTTTTGCAAGCTCCCTCCAAAGCTGCAAAGGACATCACGTAACAGTTTTCACAGGCGATGTAGTCCTCCTCATTTTGAGTAAACTGAACTTCATGTGTAAAATTGGTGAAATGCTTCTCTAAAGTTTCAACTTACCTTTTTAATTAATAGATTGAGATTTTTTTTTTTTTTTTTACTTATTTATCTCTCTTTCTCTCTTCCTCCACTGCAGTGTCATCATGCATCACCACCTACAAGAAGACACCTCCCCCTGTCCCACCACGCACCACCCCATCCAAACCCTTCATATCCATCACAGCCCAAAGCAGCACAGAGTCTGCCCAGGACGCCTATATGGACGGGGGCTCGGGCCAACGGACGGGCATCAGCTCCCAGCCGGGCCTGTCCAACTCCACGGAGAGCATCGACAGCATGAAGGCCCTGACGGCAGCCATCGAGGCGGCTAACGCTCAGGTGCACGGCCCGGCCAGCCAGCATGTCACAAACAGCACCATCACCATCACTGCCACCGCCACCACCTCCGCCGTCGCGCACGTCTCTGCAGACAGCAAGGCGCAGAGGGAAGCGCTCCGCAAGTGCCTCTCCATAGGGATCCAGGTCTGTGGGTGCACCCGTGGTTCCTGTGGATGTTCTAAAATAAAACCCTGGCATGCTTTCTGACAGTTTCTCCCCTCCTCTTAGGTGGACCCAGAGGAAGGAGGGCCCACAGAGGAGCAGTCTAAATTCCAGTCGATAGGAATTCAGGTGGAGGATGAGCGATGGTGAGTAGTGAGAGGAAAGAGAGGAGTGGTAGGAGGTTGTAAAAATGAAACTGGATAAGTCTGATGGGAGGAATGAGGCAGAGATAGCATGGACAGGGAGAGGACTTATGGACACAGAGAGAGGTTTGTAGTGTGCAGTGCAAGCTTTCGCCCCCCTGCACTGGCTTCCCGCAGCAGCTGTCCCCAGTTCAGGGGAGGTTGGCGTCAGAGCCCCCTCAGCCAGGGGCCCCAAGTGACAGCTGGGCCAGAGGATGTGGTACAGGGGACTGGGAAGGTGGAGGGGGTGAGTTGACAGCCATCTGTTGCTGCAGTCATTGTGATTCAGGCTACTTTGAGGTTGTGTGTGTTTGTGTATGTGTGGGAGGGAGAGGGAGAGAGAGAGAGAGAGAAGGGGAGGGAGTTTTATTGGGTTTGTTTAGTTCTGAGCACTGAGAGACTGCTGTGCTGTCAGCTATAGCCTCTCATTCTGCAACATGTGCCCAGTTTGAGAAGAAGCTGCCTAGTGTGCACGCTGTTTCATTAGCTCACATTGCGCCACACTTATCAAGGCCTCTGCTGGGACACGCAGGCATTTATAGCTTCTTTGTCTGCTTTCGTTCACCCTGTCAAAACAATGACCTTCTGTTTGGTGAAGGAAGTTGACAAATTTAGCCACGGCACTGGTTTTCACACCGCAGCCGAGGCATGCTTCAGGAATTCAAAGAGACATCACCTTTAATCAAAGGTCACAGAGAGGGCTGAGTCCAGAACTTTAAAACACACACTCACGCAGTGTCAGGAAATGTGATGGACTTTCTGAAAGGGGAGGTCTCAGCTGACTGACTAAGCTCCGAGTTCCTGTAGTTGCCAAGCCAAATATTAACTCATCCAGACACCCTCTAGTCTGCTGAGGCTGGGATGTTATGCAGCACTGCAGCCTCTGCATTTCTCTGGTTAATGTTTGGAATAGGTGGGACGGTATTTTTGTTGGTGCATGTTTAATTTTTTTTTTTTTTTTTACCTGTTGGCATGCACTGTGTGTGTGTGTGTGTGTGTGTGTGTGTGTGTGTGTGTGTGTGTGTGTGTGTGTGTGTGTGTGTGTGTGTGTGTGTGTGTGTGTGTGTGTGTGTGTGTGTACCTGGGAGGTCTGGGCATGCTGGCCCTACATTAGATTTCCAGACAAGTGAGAGTGCCAAACTCCTACGGCCTTGCTTCAGTGCTCAACCTGCCTTATTTGTGTCTGTGTGTGTGTGTGTGTGTGTGAGAATCTGTGTGTTTATATGCAGCAGTCTCCGGTCATAACCTCACCTTGCTGTTTGAACTCGGATTAACTGAGGGGGAGTAAAAGAGATGAAAACAACAAAAAGCATGCCTGTCTTTACACAGACTTCTTTCTGCAGGACCGTACAGATCTATATGAGTTGAGCTTTTAATACATGTCAAATTAAATTATACTGATTTAATGTATTTTTTATATAATAGTGCACGTATAAAATTAGGAAAACAGCAAGTATGTAAGCACAAAAAAAACATTTTAAAATGTGATCTCTAAATGTTGGATGGATTGACAGATTCTGTTTTTTAGGGCCTGGGGTTGGTGGTCACCAGATGGCTTTGCAGTCACAGGAGAAGTGGGGCATTGCTCATTGTCCTGTAGTGACTAAACCATATGCACAACCGTCTTGAAAAATCAACTTAAATGACAGCTAGACCTCCCTGTCTTTTTGTTTTTCTCCCAACTGACTGAAGGTTTGTCATTACTGGCAAACAAACGGGAAGGCTCGGGTGCACGGGCAACTTTTAAATGTGTATGTGTGGTGCGTAGCAGCACGAGTGGCTGTGTAGTGCTGTGTTTTCTGTCATTTAACATTCCTCACCTTGTTTTGAGCTTCCATCTACATCCAAATAAGACATCAGGCTGCTTTTGTTTATCGATGCCTCGATATTTCCTCATGGTTTTGATTTGAGTCATGCTTTCTGCAGATGAGAGGAAAAGTAATAAAAGCCTGGAGGTAAAGAGGCCTTCTGAAATCTGTAGCTTATGGAATGCAAGACACCCCCCCCTTTTCTTTTTTTTTTTTTTTTACAACTTTCCGTCATGTTCACCACACGAATGAAATGAGAACATGGACTTTCTGCATTTTTACTTGCTCCTTTTCCCACCGACCAGATACCTTCCTCATATTTCTTAGTTTTCCCCCCTCACATTGACTTCCCTGTTGAAATGCCCTTCCTTGTTCTTTTGCCTCCTGCTTATTGATATGTCTGTCTTTCTGTCTGGGCTGTGTTTGGCCTTGCCCGTCTCTGCCCCTGCAGGAAGTTGTTAGCAGGCTGATAGAAAGCAGGCTGAGGTCATTAGAACTGAACACCTGCTCGGAGGAGTTACTCTTTAACTGCTCTTCACACACACTCACACACTCGCAGGCTGCTGGTAAAGCATATACACACTCTGTTTGATCTCCCCCGAAGCCACTCCCTTGTTCCTGCTCCCTCTCTTTTCGTGTTCACGGAAGAGGAGAGATGAATGAGAAAAAAGGGGAGGTAGAGATGAATGGGGAGCACCGAGGAGGAGTGTGCGTCCGGAGATGGGCTGAAGCAGACGTGATGGAGCTGTGATCATTTGTGTGTGTCATGCTGCAGGCAGGTCAAGCTGAGGTTCAGGTGCGAGAGGATTGTCGGCATGTTTGAATAGGAGTACAGCTAATAGAGTAGCAATTCAGTCTTGTTTCTGGCTTGGAAAAGTTGTTACTTCTTACTAATTTGCAGCATATTGACAACTGACTAACAAATATTTGAACCCAGACATGCTCAATAATAGGATATGGCATGCTTGGTATACCAGACTTGAAACGTTTGCATGAGAACTTATGTGTTGAGCTCAGATGTAAACTATTCTGCTTTTATATTATCTGTTTATCTTTGGACTTCCTGACTCTAGCAAGCTCTTGTGTACACTACAAAGTGTATCAGTAATTTTTTTTCGAGTGGCTCAGTGAGCTGCGCCCTGGTACATTTTTGTAGTTGTTAATAAATGATGTGCTTGGAGTGTTGTACCACTTTGAGTTGTAATCTGGCAGTGATTAGACCGCAGGTTTGTCCAATCGCTGCGCAGCTCTCTGGCCAGCACCCCCCCACACACACACACACACACACACGCACACGCACACACACCCCCAAAACACCCGCATCCCTTTGGCGTCCCATTCATTACTGGGATGGTGAGCTGCTCTATAGAACGTAGCCAAGTGTGTGTATGTGTGTGTGTTGATTTAATCTTTGCACATGTGTGTGTATGTGGGTCCGCTCCTGCACACACAGTGTGGAGGGACTTGGCAGAGGCTGCCCCAACAGTGCCACAAAACCTCTGAGCCAAAAACGACATGGCACACCCAGCTGTAGGGAAGGGTCCCAGGTGTGTGTGTTTGTGTATGAGTGTGTGTTTGTGTGCTTGCACTATTTATGTATGTTCATCAGCCCCCAAAGCAGAGCTAGTGGTTTTACAGACGATTGCACACTCTGTTGCTTCTGAATGAGGCAGGTGACAAAACACACACACACACACACACACACAGACACACACACACAAACACACAAAAGATGTTCCACACTACAAAAGCTATTCATCACTATCAGTGACGAGATCACTGTGATCATTTCAATTTTCCATACTGGGAGCACCTCCAAGAACTGTGTGTAAACAATATTATCATAATTACTGCAAAAAGGAAGGCACTGTGTGGTATTACTATACGATACGAGTGTGTGTATTCAATCATTGCATAAAATCAGATTCATACCAGATGAAAAAAAAAATGAACAATACCTTTTTGTTCACCACCTAACTTTATTCTTGCTTCCTCTTCTAGTTACCGCAGGATGACCCGCTCCAACAGCGTAACCACGGCTGTGCAGGCTGACCTCGACGACCCCACAGATGTCCCAGAGCTGCCGCCGCGTCACTGCGCCACCATGCCGCGCCAGCACTCCCGGGACGCTGCCACCTCCACCGTCAGCATCCAAGGCTCGGGGAACCACTACCATGCATGTGCCGGGGATGACTACGGGGAGGTGGGGTTCGACCCGTCTATCCTGCCCCCTCCGGACCCCTGGATGGACAGCGTGGCCGAGCCAGAGGCGGAGGGTTCGGAGGCTGTCGGCCGATCGGTGTGCCCCCGTGACGGCCGCTGGTTCCTCAAGTTGCTGCAGGCCGAGACGGAGCGCATGGAGGGGTGGTGTAGGCAGATGGAGCAAGATGAGATGGAGAATGAGCTGCCTGATGAGAGTGAGTTGAATCATTGGTTTTAAATGTCAAGATATGAAGCCAAGATATAAATTATATTATATAAGACTGATATTAGGTCTATTTTTCCTCTCCTCTCCTCTCCTCTCCTCTCCTCTGATTTGGAGGGTGCTGGTATTCATGGTATTGGACCACAATAGCTGCTTGTTCCTGTCTCAGGCCCTCTGGCCTCCACAGACATACCGTGCATACTTATCAATAGGCTGCTGCTGGCCCCAGCCACACATCTGTCCTCTAGATACACTGTATAATGATCTTTCACACAAACACAGTGAAGGGGTTTCTGTCAGTGCCCCTTCCAGGCAACTATTTGATCTTGACGTAACACACACACACACACACACACACACACACACAGCAGTACATGTCTGTATGTGCACGTCTAAATATGTTTTATTCACATGCACATATCAGATGGAGCAAACAAGCCTCAGGCAGTAGGCACTGTATTTCTACCTGTCCTTACTGCGCAGCTGATTTCATGTCTTACAGAAAATGTCATTGCTTATGCAGCTAGTGTGTTGTTATGGTTCCAGGCAAGAGATTCTCTCACAGAACGTGCAGAACAGGGAGGCTGTCTCAAGGTTATGTTTTCCCAGCTCCCACGCCACCATGTGCGCACACACACACACACATACATACATACATATACATACACACACACACACACACACACGCACACGCACATCCTGAAGGGGTTGTGTCTGTAGTGCAGATTCATTACTCCCCCTCTCAGTTTCTGATCCCATTCTCTTCATGTCGAGTAATGTATGCAGTGGCAGTTCCTCTCCATAGGGATATGTGAGTCAATATGACTGGCCAGTGGAGTCCCGTTATACAGCACAGCCTTGTTTATTTCACATATCAGTCTGGCAAACTGGCATTGTGAGAGAAATAAAACATTACATTCTTAAAATCTGTTTTAGGACCATATGCTTGATTTGAAGAACTGTGCTGTAAATGTGTTTTTTTGGATTGTGTGTTCAAGATTCTCTTTTTGGAAATTATAGCTTTGAATTTTGAATTTCAGTGCTCTTCAGTAATTATTTCACTTCCCTAAATGATTTCTGTTCCTCAGATGCAGGTAGAAGAGGTTTCTGCACATCCTTATGTGTTGCATTACTAATGCACCCTCTCTGTTAGCGGTGCAACATGCCTGCAGTATGCGGTTCCGTGAGTAATTGCATTGTGGTGTGTGTGTGTGTGTGTGTGTGTGTGTGTGTGTGTGTGTGTGTGTGTGTGTGCGCACATGTGTCTGTGTCTTTCTGCAGTCATGGGGAAGATCCGCAGTGCAGTGGGGAGTGCCCAGCTGCTGATGTCCCAGAAGTTCCAGCAGTTCCGGGAGCTGTGTGAGGAGAATCTGGTATGTGTCACCTCATCCTCTGCATGCTCCCCCAGCCCCCCTCACACACACTTACATCATCCTGCACAAATCATCCTGACAGGACAGGCCAGCGCTCATTTACTATGCATCTAGTGTGGAGTGTGGTTTTGCACACCCCTACTGTCTTTCACATACAAAAAAAGATCTTGCAGTGTGAAAGCGAGAGCCTGACAGACGGGGATTTTTAAGCCTAAAGCTTCTTTGTTTGTGTTTTCTCGTGCAGATATTTACCTTTATTTTTCCATTTGCATGTCAAAATATTGCAAGTACGTGTGTTGCATAATTTATCCATTATAAAACAATAAGACCTGCCATAGTGAATGTAATCAAAGCCGTATTCTAGAGACAAGCAGAGTACTTCCACATATTTGGAGTATGGTGCCTGATTTATAAAAAGAAAATCTCTCATTTGAATTCCAAATAACTTGCGCCTCAATGCGCATTTAACTTTCTTGAAAGTCAATCCTGTGATTCATCAGACAGCAACAGCATCTTTCCAAAAAATGTGTGATGAGTGTATATAAACAAAATGTTTTTGTGCGTGTGTGTGTGTGTGTGTGTGTGTGTGTGTGTGTGTGTGTGTGTGTACATGTGTGTATGTCTGCAATTTTTGTGTATTAGAACCCAAATGCACACCCACGGCCCATCTCCCAGGACCTGGCAGGTTTCTGGGACATGCTCCAGCTGTCAATCGAGAACATTAGCCTGAAGTTTGATGAACTCCACCAACTCAAAGCCAACAACTGGAAACCTCTGACTCCCCCAGAAATTCAGGTGCAGACACACATACGCAAATATCACATTCAATCAACTGCATTTCAAATGATGAAATTCACCTAGCCTCAGTTTTGTTTTGGGTTGCCTTACTAACCTGCATGCTATCTGCTGTCATTACTGTTTACTTTGAATTCACAGTTAAGCTTTGTTGTAGCATGCAGATATGTGTTGTGTACTGTCATGTTGCCTGCCTGACGTCACCACTTGTATTTGTGTGTTTTGTTCTGTCTTGTTGCCGACAGTGAGCTGCTTTTGAGAAGCTTCTCTACCTGCCATGCACCGTTGGGGCCTGTTCATCTCCAATGGTCACTTTTACCTCACGCAATGGCCACCACCGTGCTCTCTTACCCCACACAAATGGCTGCCACTGTGAACCATAACCTCATTCACAATTGCATGCTCTGACATTACGCTGGCAGCAGCTACAGTGCTCTTTCTAACCCCTATGCAAACTGGCTGCCATTGTGTTGCTCCTTACTGGTGTTTAGCTGCAGCTTGCCATGAGGACTCAGTGGTCTGTCATTAAGACTATCTATCATTCCTGTCCAGGAGAGAAGGATGCCTCCTCCTGTGCCAAAGAAGCCCCAGAAGGGCCACCCTCCCCTGGCTAGGGACCGCTCGCTGGAGAGCTCTGAGCGCCAGCGTCTGGAGGCTCGCAAACGCCTGCTAGCTGCCAAACGTGCCGCGTCGGTTCGGCAGAGCTCTGCTACTGAGAGCGCAGACAGTATCGAGATCTATATCCCCGAGGCTCAGACCAGACTATGAAACACACAAATATATGTACCTACACACATGCCCAATACACCATCCCCATACACACAATAGCACTGAATGGTACAGCCAAGGTGCTAACATTACATAATCATATGTTTTGCAGACTTCTCAGATCACTGTGGGGTCAGTCACGATGGAGGTTGTTTGAACAAGAAATGTACATTTACAGTATTTATTTATTTATTTATCTGCCCCCCTTTCCTCATTTCCTTTTCCCAGCTTTGATGTAGCACTCCCTTTTTCCTCCGTATCACCACCCGCCCCCTTCACTCCCAAAGAAGTCTCTTATAAATCCCTTTTTTAAGTGACCTGATATTACAAAAGTAAGCCTGGTGTAGCACAGCTGTAATGCTTCACGTTAATGCGTTTCAGGAGCTGAGAATTACAGGAAAACTTGGAGGGAGCATGCATGGGCATGTGGAGTGTGTGTTTGTATATACATGCAAATACACACAAACTTATGAGAGATGTACTCTGAGCAGATCAGATCAAATACATCAAATCAAACGGAGATCAGACCTATTAAATCATATTTGATAAATTGATTACGTTGATGTTACTTTTATATTTTTACCAAAATCCCATGATCTAATTCTAAAATAAAAAGAGGTTGAACATTAGAACCGAATGTTATAAAAAGTAGACAGGGAAATTATAGTGTCAGTTAGTGACACATTTTGCCATCTGTCTGCAAATAGGTCTTTTCAGTGGCAGGAGGAAAGGTCAAGAGTCAAGTCAGATTTTGCTCCTCCATGTGAGGCAAAGTGGCTTTTGTGCCAGGAGCGAATTATGAGACTACCTTTCACTGAAAGAGTCGCTGTTTTAAAATGCCACAAACCTAATCTGTGTGTGTGAGTGAGAGTAAGTGTGTGTGTGTGCATGTGTGCGTGGGTGTGTGTGCGCGCTCGTGTGCGTCTATGTGTGTGCGTGTGTGTTTTGATTCAGATGTTCATTTCAAGAAGTGCTTCCTATTTTTCTGGGGCGGGACGGTCCCAGTTGTAACTGATTATTAAGGTAGCATTATCAACAACCTGTAAACACACCACCCATTTTGTCTCATTTGAAACTGAGCAAAACGTGTTTGTATAAAGGACATATAATAACATGACATGCATGCTGACACAAGGTAACCGATACTTTTGTCTTTTTTTTTTTTTTTAACAGGTTTAATCCTTTCTCATGTTGCATTCAAGCTCTTCGGTGTTACAGACTAAGCTAAAATACTGATATTTGGTACAATACTGGTAGTTGTACTCTATTTTATTATGTCATTTTTAGACAAGAGAGGTTTATTGACAGTATTGAGACTAATGGACTGAAAAGGGACTATTTTCTCCTCACTGTGTGTGCACTATCTCTGCCTCCAAATGAAGCAATTATTTGAAGGTCATACAAAAAAAATCCAATTTCTAATATTTTGTATTCATGTTTAATTTATTGATTAGAAGAACAATGACTGTTTATTGACATTGTGATTATTATTATGCACTGACAACAAGGCCCTTATACTGTGTTTATGTTTTATGTTTGTTTAGCATGACAGGCACCCTTTTTTTGTCTTTTCTGTTTCAGTGATCAGCCTTAATTTCTAATATGATAGTTGAGCACAACAGCAGTCTCAGGGGAAGAAGTGTGTCTGTGTGTGTGCGTGTGCGTGTGTGTGTGTGACTGAGGGAGGGAGAGAGTGAGTGTGACTGACTTCATGTGACTGTATGCGACCCATGGCTTTGTCTCTTACTGTATATAACCCCAGTCACCAAGATAGGCCATGTTCTTAAATAAAGGAACTAGTGTCCATGCCATCTTTTGAATGATGTTCCTGTTGGACATCTCAGCCCTACTTACTTCAGTGAAACAAGGTATTTTCTGTCTGCTGCTTGACTATGGAGACAATCCTGAGCCGGTTTACCATCACATACTTGTTTAGATTACAGAATAGGGTGTGTTAGTCCAATTCTTTTTATTGATCTGACACTTTTGTGCCACTGGACAACAATAGGTAAAGCTATATTCCTGCTATTTGTCCCTATTGAACGCTACCTGAAGATTTCATTGAGAGGCATTTGTTTGTGAAGGAACTCAAGTGATGAAGTAAACCGTACAGTATGATTTGTATTTCCTTTCGTTGGTCGATATAAATTTTAGAGAAGGTGCATAAAAGTAACAATAGTTCAAACTTAATGCCATTTTATGTAGATGAAGCTAATTTTAGATTTTTTTTTACTTTGGAACTTGTATTTGAATTAAACTGTCTGTCAAATGATTGACTTCTTATTTATGTTTATTATATTAACATATCAATATAATACTCCTGGTATAGCAGGGAGTTAGAAACCAGAATGTTGGATTGTGGTAAATTGCTAAACTCAAAAGACACTCCAGCGATCCTGGCAATTCTGAAGCTTGTGATGTAGTTATATTAAGAGAAAAACATTCGAATAAACATTTGTACATAAATGAATGTTTCCCTATGTAAATGTAAGCTTAAAAAACCTGATCAAATAACATATTAAGCAGATATACATTTTGTAATTAATGTTATTACACTGTTGATGTTATGGCACGTGTATGAGCTCTTATCAGCATTAAAAAAAATATCATTGCCATAATCTTGTTGTGTTCATTTCTTTCTTGTCTCCACATGTGTTTTCAATCGGAATGTAATTAAACAGATTACAAGGCCAGCATGGTGTGTTTTTAGGGCATTTCCCTTCCGCAGGGGCGGGTCCCCATAATTAGACAGCATTTCTGGCCTTGGCTCGGCCTCGACGCTCCTGTACGTGCAGCTTCTGGTGATTTGTCATTCACACATCAGTCATGCTGAGGGGAGGCATGCTGACCTCAGTGGCCAGAGTTCAGGGGTGGGTGGGGGGTGAAAGAGGGGGTTGCAGAGGTAGGTTTCAGCTTTGTATAAGGCCTGGCCCTGGGTCCCTGGGTCAGTGTACCCTTCACATGGCCTACCATGGTGGGCCACAACTGCCCGCTGTGCGCCAGGAGGTCTGTTTAAACCCTTATTAGTGATTACATCCTCCTGACTGGACCCAACCTCCACCACCAGAGCTGTCACTTTTCACAGGCAACATCTGACAAAAGGTGGAAAACTCAAAATGCATTCTGAACATTTGTTAACGGTCTGCAGGGGCAAGCCTGCAGGGGCAAGCCTTCAGGGGCAACGCTCCAGCCACAGACGATGGATATCACCTTTTTGATAAGCAACTGTCCTAACCTGTGGTAGAAGAAGCATTCACGACCTTTCTCTTGGAGCCATACCACAATGTAGATATACTGCAGTAGAAGTAAAAGTTGCTTTACAAACATCACTCAATGAAAAATATGACAGCAAAATTTACAAAATATATCCCTGTGTTATACATTTAGTATTACACGTGCTTTATGTTCAAGTAGCATTTTATTGCTGCAGCTGATGTTTATATATATATATATATATATAGCTGTGAAATAAATGTACTGGAGTGAAATGTAATTTTTTTTCCCCTGAAATGTATCAGAGTAGAAGTATAAGTGGCATGAAATAAAAATACTCAGTTACATTCCACCTCTGCTCCCATTTGTACACATATTAATTGTAATAATTTTTTAATTTTAATTTAAAGAAAAGATTTTATTCCTTTTAAGTCAGAAAAATAGTTTGTTTTGAACTATAGAGAACATGTAATAAATAAAAGGGTGGCTGCCTCAGTAAATACAGACAACAAATCCTATTGAGACCAATAGAGAAGCTTTAGGATTGTAGCAGGACCAGAAGGGAACAGCTGTCCGCCTAGCCTTGAACGAGGCAGCATACTCACTTGCAAGCTGCCTTACATTGACTCTATTGAGACGCAGACACACATAAAACCCTGTTGGCAAGAAACTGTTGACGTCTGCTGTTTGCCCGTGTTAATTTATGCAGGATTATGCTAATTGGCAGGAGCTGTTGTAAACCTCTCTTACACACACAGGAATGTTTCTGAATGCCTAACGGTAGCCTGTGGAAAGACATGAACGCCAACCTATTTCTGTCCTCCCGTACTCGCGCCCTTTATTTACTGAACATTCTGACTCAATTCACTCTTCTGATCCTTACGGGATAAATCAGTAATCTGCAACAAAGTTTGATGGGATTTATGAAAATACAGTCTATGTAAATGCTTGTTAGATTGAAGTCATCTGAGTGATCCGCATGAGGGAAAATAAAAACGATTGATTCTTAGATGTAGAAAAACAAAACTTTATTTGAATCCCATGTGACCCCTATTTGCCACAAACATTGCACAGTATGAAAAGAAATCACATCATTGGGCATCATGTCACATTAACTATACACATGGTCCTATTATACATGAAAATGTTTTTTTGGTGATTTCAAAAAATGCTGTCTTTGTCAGGTCGTAAAACAGCAAATGCAGAAAAGACATCTGTAGTGTTTAATTTTCCAGTCCACTGGCCGTCGTTATCGCTGAGTGATGGGATGAAGGCTCAGACTAAGAACCTGCTACATTGGTCATCTGAAATATCCCTTGGTGGGAGAAGAGTAAAAAAAAAAAAAAAAAAAAGCATAGAAGTTTTTTTCTTTTAAAATACCTAAAAGTAAAAGTAAATTACAAAATCAAAACTATACTCATACTCATGAAAACACATAACATTTACTACAGTAGTGAATAAGTTTGTCATAGATGCCAAGAGCAAAGTATGTTTAAGACACTGAGATGACCTTCCTCTGCCTTTAGTGTGCAAACGAGGCAGACCAATTATGAACTGATCTCTGAAATGTAAAACAGTAAACGTGTGTGAATGCAACCAATCTGTCTGACTGGTCTGTGAAGGAGGGCTGATTCTAGCTTTTGCTCCGTTCTCTAAAATGATATACAGTATAATGGAAAGACATTAGACAGGCAGCATTTCTCTGATAACATTTTTGGTCCCTGTGTGCAAATAAGATACACATGTAGATACATAAGCATGTATATGAAATGAATAAACTTACAGCCAAGGCACCTCAATAGTTTTTTTTTTTCAATAAAAAAAACATCCTCATCAATTTGATTGGTATACCAAAAATAGAAATGATCAGGCTTTCATGTGGATTTGTTCTCTGTTGCGTGCAGACAAGTCACTGAACTCAGAGGAGTTCCATAGTTGAGACACAAAGTCAGTCTCTATTGCCTCCTTTTCTTCTTCTGTCACTTACTCCCTTTAGGAGACCAGCTGTTTGGCTTGCAGCTCCATCTCTGCAGCCCGTTTGAGGGCCACATCCACCAGGAGCTGAAAGCCGCTGAAGTCTTGTGTGAGGTCTGGAGGGGTGGGGGGAGGGGTGTTGAACAGCCCGCTGCGGGGGCTCAGGTTGCCCTCCATGCTGGTGCTGCCGAGGATGGTGGTAGTGGTGGGGAGCGGCTGGATGCCTGGCCCTTCTTCCTGGCACCTGAGCAGCGCCTGTGCAGACTGCAACAGCTCAGCTGCCCTGTCGCAGTTCATTCCTGGCACAGAAGGGTGGGAGGCTGTCGGGCTGGCCTGCATTGCTGCGGTGACAGTGGTGTGACAGATGACAGAGGGGCGGGTGGGAATGAGCCCTGGAGAGGGGGACGTGGAGGTCGGAGAGGGTATGGAGGGGGACACTGCCTTCCTCAGGACACCAGGCATGGCAGGTTCGAAGCTGGAGGGGTGGAGAACACGTTTGTCGTAGCTCTCCTCTGTACCGGCTGCAGGACTGCTGTGTTTCGGGGACTGGGAGCTGTCAGAGAAGCTGTCGCCAGCCTTGCTACCTTTCCTCGATATGGTAAACTGGTTGGGATCTTTGCCATCTTTCCTCAGCATCTCTGGGAGAAGTCGCCGCCTTGCATTAATGAACCAGTTGCACACCTGGAAAGGACAACAACAAAAATCCGTGCTGTGAGAAAGCCGCATCACATGGCTCACTTATGTTCTGCCTTGCAATTTAAAGGGAAAATCTGCTGGTACCCTTGTCCCCAGGTGCAGCTTGCACCTGTGTTTTCAATAGAGGGATCACGATGAAAGGGTAAACACCACCCATCACACGATGAGATTTCACACCACAGACAATGTACAGTATTTCACACCATTAACATTTCCTGTTTATCATTTCAGCAGTGCATAAATGAAAAACCAGACTTCTAAGATTTGTACTAATGATCACAGCTCAAACTATGAGAAACTAAACATTAACTTTCATCCAAAAGCCTAGGTTGGACTTCTTAATCTTGTATTTAAAATTGTTTTCAATAGAAACTAATCTCTTTTGTCACAGCAGTAATCATGGTCATCTTTCTTCTTTTTTCCCTCAGTTCTCCAGGCTAGTCGTAACTGGCTCTGGGAGCCTTGTAGCTCCAACTATGTAAATGACTCTGCATTGTTCCCAGACAGCTGGGATGGAAAGGGGCTGGAGGGAGGGAAATTCCTGTTCGAGTGCCTCAGCCAAGCCCACAGCACACAGGGAGTGAGTTTACTCACGTTGTCTCATAGACTTTAATGTTGCAACATCAAGCTGGTTTGGATGACCTTCAATTCACTGTTTGTGTGTCATGTTTTGTTTGCCATCTAGACAGGAAATGACTCAGTCAAGCTGACACTTGCTTCCTCTTGACTTTTTACAGTGGTCTATTTACACTATAAGGATTTACTGCTAGTGAAGGCTTAAGTACTCTTATCGTTTCTGTCATATCTGCGTCCATACCTGCAGTGTGGAGAGCTGAGTCTGCTTGGACAGGAGGGCTTTCTCCTGTTCAGAGGGGTAAGCGTTGTAACGGTGCTCGTACAACCAGTCCCTGAGGATCTGAACTGACTCTTTGGGCAGATTCCCCCGCCGTTTCCTCTTCCCGTTGCTCCCCGTGCTGGACGACAGATCCAGGGGGGCGTCCACGCTGTCCTCATCATCCGTCTCACTCCCCGACAGCATCATCAAACCTGCGCAAGCAAGCACAAGTGAGAGAAAAAGAGAGCGTATGAGAACAGGACAAAGAAGAATATGTTATCATCTTATGCCAGCCACCCTGCTGTCAGTCACCCAGGCACTCTGCCGCAGCCGTTTACCAAACGCAAGCTGTCTGGCAGGCAGCTGATGTGTCAGAAGCAAGCTGTCAAGTTCAGCCATGTGATTCATATAAGGAGCGAGAGAGGGAGGGAGTGAGGAGGAGGGGGAGGAGGGAGCGAGGGAGGGATGGAGGGGGCGACGTCACAAAGGCTGGTCTGATGCTGTGTCAGTTATAAAACCTGCCTAGACAAATACAAGCCAGGTCTGCTGCACAGACTGAGAGCACACCTTACATGCTTGGATAAGTAGAGTAGACCAGGCTGACCACAAGAACAATCACTGTATAAAGGGAGGTTTTGTTTTGAAGAACAGAAGCCGAGTGTTTACAAGGATTACAGAGTTGCTATCTTTTTTAATACAGCTTTTTCAGTCTAATCAAAGTCAATCTTGATCAAACAGGATTTGGGCCTTTGAAATTCTCTTAATGTCAAGACTGTTGCCCAGGGAAAATAACCCAGCTTATAAACTGTACTTTGATGAGATTTCTGTCTGCCATTAGTGTGTTTGCAGCTGATTATGATATTAAATGTCATAGACAGTATGGTTTAAGTGACACCACACATGGATATTTGAGCTTCCTCTGGAGAATAAAGAAACTGATTTTTACAGTTGCTCATGTGATGGTAGGTCACTTTTTTTTCTTCACACATGAATACCAGCAGGGTATTATGCAGGCAGCCCAGGCGCCATTAAGATAATGCAGAAACAAAAATCTGGGAATATTTAATGCACAACCCTATGCAGTCTGCCCTGGGGCAAACTAATGGGAAAGGAATAAGAAAGTTCCCAAGTCTGAGCGGCCAACAGGATGAGGTAATTACGTAGGCTGGATAGAGGAGAAGGGGGAGGGGAGACCTGTTGCAAATCAGCGTCTCCAGACTAAACAAAAGAATCCGGGGCTGCGTGGTTCTTTGTATGCAATTCAAAAGTTTCTACACGCAAACTGCGACTTCGCCATTAACTTCAGTCCCTCCGAAATGTCACTGTTCAACAGAGTGGCCAGAAAAAGTGTTTTAACCCCATGAAGACACTGGTTTTGTAAGTTTATACAACTTGTAAGGCTTTTCTATTGTGTGTGTGCGCGCTGCACCACGAGGTCCATGAATGTAACAAGGCAACAGCAACTTCCCACAATGAGGTCAGGATGAACATTAGCCTACATTTGGATTTAGATACTCTTTAAAGGTGCTTACGGTGTTTCTGTCCGAGGTAGACGGTTATGAAGATACAACATGTCGATTTTTAAAGCTTGCACGCCGTAAAAATGTAGCATTTCAAACTCTCCAACTCACAATAGTCGCCAAACTTTTACTTGTTTCGTCGCTTTTCTCAAACTTCGATACAAATGTAGCTTTCGTCACTTAAATTAGCTTCTTTTCAAACCCACTGGAAGCGTCGTTTGATTCAATTTTGACGTTTTTATGTGAGCTTTAAAGTTAGCCTAATTACACCGTGACAAGAAAAACAACACATGGCTACACAGTCGTGTGTTATGGTGTCAAAACTTGAATAAAACCTATCATGAAAAACCACAAATGATAGTCAAAGCTAGCTATATCGACTTTTGACATCGCGCCAGCACATGGCAGAAAAAGCCCCCTGTCATGTCTGGAAAGGAAACAATAGACTGCATGGTTTGCATATGAGGGAAATCGCTCTAATACTCGTTGTATACGTTGTCTCTGCTTACCTAAACTAATTTTGACATATTTTGTCTCAAAAGCATCCAACCTACCCTTTTTCGTCTTCATATCCGTCCGAAAATGCCCACTTTTTCCTCGTCAAGCGCAGAAGAAAATTGTCTTGTGTGTAAGTGCAGTGTTTTTCTTCTTTCCTCCAGATATCCCCAGTGTGTATCCGAATATTTGAAAAATCCTTATTCATCAAAACTCGTTTCTTTTCTCCTTTTTTGGTTTTATTTCTCTCTTCTGGTCGTCCTTGTTTGGAGTCTTGGGGGGGGGGGGGTTACCTGAGATCTCTGCGTCCCTTCGACTCAAAGCCCTTTTCTCATTGACTGTGTTTGATCCTGAAACTGGGTGACAGCTATCTTTGACAGCTGCGTGACTCAACGCACAGAGATCCTCCCACCGTTGAGGGCAGAGGAAAAATCTCTGACATCAGCATGGCTTGTTCCACTGACATGGATTCAGTGTCGCTAAGCTTTATCTGCTGCAGACCCCCTTTTAACAAAAACCAAACAAACACCAACATTTGGTAGCTATATTAAATTATGCTCCGCAGGAAGGCGTAGATTTAGGCGGGCAGTCAGAATGACAACAACAACAGGCTGGTGTCGAGCACTGCGGACCTCGTGGTTATACATCCTCCACAAATAATAACCACAATGACAAATCATCATACATTATTTCTACCCGCAATACTTTTTTTGTTGTTGTTGCTGATTGTGACTTATGGTGTGTCTGTGTGGTATTCAGAAATAAGTTCGGTTACCTTATCGCTCTTTGTTGTTCTATCTCCTTAGGTTTCACTTTTATGTAGCATCGTGCATAATTGTGTGGTATTTAATAGCCCTTTCTTAATGCTCCAAATGTATGTGTGTGTGCTTTTTTAACAGTAACCTCTGTGGTCCTATTGTGCTTTCTAAAATTCATATCACTACAGTATTGTCTAACAATAAGGGACCCATATTGTGGTGACTATACCTGCAAATGCTGTTTATACTACTGCACCTTTTCCCCTCCCACGTTGTCAAATCAGTAGCTCATTCTGTTGCAGCCCTGTCGTCTGAATCTTGTTTTTGTTGTGGTAAATATGTCATTTCCTTTTCAGTGTCATCATTATGTAAAGGACTATTGCTCTCATTTCTCGAACGAGGAAATGAGGAAAATATACAGTATACACGTTGGTGCAACAGGGGGATGTTGAGCCAACCTTGCACAAGCTGCAGGTTAGTGCACCAGTTCAGGTTACTAAAGACAACAGTAGGACGAAGGAAACGATCAATGCCTTCATTTGTATGCCGTGCACAACCTTGCGACAGCTGCTGTAGCAACGTCTTTTTTTTCTTGAATGCATTTGTTCCAGAGAGGCGTTTATTTCTCTCTCTGAAGCTAAATGTCGCCTCCGTGTGTGTACATATGGTACTGTACGTGAATGCAACATATGTCAAACATGAGGTCGTAGGATTCCCTCTGGTGGTTGTTGTGCTGCAATGTGACACGGGCTCAAGAGAAATAGAAAAAATAATGTGTTTTTTTTCTCTCTCACTGCTCTTTTAACCTTTTGTCTGATGCTGAACTGTAGTTAGCCTTCTCTCAAGGAAAATATCTCATGATAAATTGTCACAGGAGTATTATTTACAAACATCACCTAAAGGTCCCATGTTGCAGGCTAATATTTTCCTGGAGGAGAGTGCCAAAATCATTAGAAATTCAAACTGGCAGCCCACTACATACCATAAGTATAAGTTAATACTATTTTAGATTTTTCATCATGTTTACTTTACAGCTGCAGTTGTAATGGACTCCTCTGAGGTAATGTCTATATTGAGCGCTCCCATTCTTAGCAAAGACAAGTAGTGTGGCTGTTTCACACCGGACAAGCTGAAACAGTCACACAATGTGTTAAAAATAGAGGTAGGAGCAAGTTAAGAATGCAGCAGCACCCTTCTGTTGCCACCAAGTTAATATCAGCCTGTTCCGTTTTTATATAGGCTACTATGTGTTACATAATAATAATAATAATAATAATAATAATAATAATAATAATAACAATAGTTTTAGTATTTTTGATATTAGTAAGCCTAATTCCAGTGCTTGTGGCCGTAGTAGTGCATTTTTTATTTGGTAGGCGTCTTGAAATACTGGTGGAAAATTGTTTATTTATTTTACAAAATTCAAAATAATAACTGAACAAGTTCAATCAAACGTTTTTGCCAATGTTGAGTGCTTTTATTTGGTTCATTTTTTTTTACGTTATAAGGGCATTCAGCGGAGAAATGTGCATATTCCTTTGCTTAATACTTCCACCATTGTTCACATTGACTGTTTGGTGGCTGTTTTCATTTCCTTATGATGAAAATAACTTTAGTCGCACTTAATTGTTCAGGAAATATAAGGAGTAAAACGTTTGCCAGAAGCATATAAAATAGGTTATTCGCCTGCTTCGACGCGCAACTGTTTGATACCATATCACAGAAGTGATTTGGCTGTAACACATCAAATCCTGTACATTTGACGACTTGTGGCCAAACAGCGCATAAGTGAGGACGTGAAAAGGGAGAGCTGCATCAAGTAGTTTACAGACAGCAAGAATGATACCGGAAAAAAAGGAGATTTTGCTGTCGAAATAAAATAGGCCTAGGTAATTGTCACTTTTTATCAGGCTATGAACGCTGAACCTCAAGATTTCTATTTAACTAATTATGTGACTTCTAAATGCAGTTGGCTGTGATGACATATGTTATCTGTCCTACTAATGGAGATAAATACTTATCCAAACTTTAGCGATGCAAATTAATTACAAATATAAATCAGTACATATTTAGTGTTCTATATTTGTAACTAATTTGGATCACTTGAGTTTGGTTTTTACTTTGACTTTAAAGAATTTATTGCTATTGATCACAGTGAAACTAAGCCACATTCACTTTAATTAATCATTGTAATAGACTAACAATGAAAACTTCCAAGTGGGGTTTGACTGTAAAATGTCATGACTTTCCTGCATGGCATATATTATGAGCTGGACCCAAATTTACAGCATAGACTACAGTGATGTGTTTAAAATGTAAGGAAAACTTAAATTAATCAGAAATTCCAATATTATTTTCACTGACGTACATGGTATTTAAAAAAAAGAAATTGTAGTAAATGTTATTTTAAAAAGAGTTTTATTTTGAAAGCACATAACAGGAAGTGACTTTGGCTTCATCCTGCCTGACTTGACTGTTGAATCAGGCAGAGTCTTGTTACAGTTTGAAGTCTAAAATTAGGGAGGCACCCCAACAGCAAATGACGCACGAAGGCTAAACTGGACAGTCTACTCGTCTCTGTGTCAATGGTAATAGGACTCAGGACCATGGAGACGTTCCCCACAACTTTGCTGTTGTTGATGACATGCGGGGTATTTTTAGCTGTTGTTGTCATCTTTCCGTAGCAGCCCGGCTGCAGCGTTCAGTATAAAGGACTCTTTCAAAATGCAGTTGTACAACAGTGTGCTGACACACTACCCGAGGTCGTCGCGCAAAGTTACAATAACTTTATCGACCGGATCCGAACGATTGAACGGGACAACCTCAAGTTCCTCTGAGCCCGATAAACCGCGATTCACTCAACCGGACACTTCAACTTCAACGACCAACGGGGATCCGGTGAGAGAGACTGCTCCTTCCGCAAACATGCCTGCCTTTTCATGTTACGAAGCTTCATCAATGAGGCCAATTTACTTCACGTCGACTGCTGAAATATTAATCCGCAGACCGGATGGAGTGGAGAGGTCTGTGCCTGTCCATATCGTGAGGGAGTCCAAATCCAAACCACCCTCTCCTAACTCGCATAATGGAGAAAGCATCCTCTGTAATGACTGTGATTCTGATGTGATAGTTGACTTCATAGATCATCTGAGAAATGGGACAGATGAGCTTTTCCCTGACTGCCCAGAGCTGGCTGAAGATCAGCTTTTCCCCAGTAATAATGTTTGTGGACCCAGAATAGAAGAATACAAGAGGTGGGTGGGAAATTCAAGTGAGGATGATGCGGTTTCAGTGACTAATGCCCCCTTTAGAAGCAATGGATGGGCCTCAGTACATGAAGTGGAGCCAGTCACCCCCAGGGCAGCTCAGCCTGGAGACCTCATAAAGGAAGATTTTAGTGATATAAGCAGTGGAAAAGCTGCTCCAGCGTCAGATGAGAGAAAGGCCTTTGAGCTCAGTGTTCTGCAGGAGTGCCCTCCACAGAGATGCCAAGAGAGAGGGGATATCAACGATAAAGTCACCCGGTATCTGGCTGAAGTGGAGAAACAAAACAAGTACCTCCAGGAGAGGAATAAATTCAGGTACCACATTATTCCAGATGGCAACTGCCTGTACAGAGCGGTGTGCAAAGCCACGTACGGGGACCAGGCGAGGCACGGGGAGCTCAGGGAGCAGACGGTGCACCACATCGCTGACCACTTGGATGAGTTCAACCCCATCATCGAAGGGGATGTAGGAGAGTTCCTGATCAACGCAGCGCAGGATGGAGCCTGGGCCGGCTACCCCGAGCTTCTTGCCATGAGCCAGATGCTGAATGTCAACATCCACCTAACAACAGGGGGGAGCTTGGAGAGCCCCACTGTCTCCACCATGGTGCACTATCTAGGGGAGGAGGATGCTTCCAAGCCTGCTGTGTGGCTGAGTTGGCTCAGCAACGGTCACTACGACGTCCTCTTGGACAGGTGTCTCCCCAACCCAGAGTATGAAGACTGGTGCAGGCACTCACAGATGCAGAGGAAAAGAGATGAGGAACTGGCGAAATCAATGGCAGCCTCATTATCCAAAATGTACATTGAGCAAAATGGATCTGCATGAAAGAAATATGTTGGGAGTTAAAGGACGCACACTGTTACAATAGAGTGCAGAACTGTTTTTTGACTCTGCTTGGTTTCTGCATACTTTAAATGATTTTTATAAGATTTATATTGTGAGAGAAAGGAAGTGCAGTGCACATACTTGGGTTTTTGTATATGCAAACATTGAAAAATTGGTCGCAGTTGTCTCTGAAAGTGTTTGAAAGTGTGTGAGCCTGTTCTTCTTGATAGTGTGGGTTATGTTAACATGAGTGAAATACTTTAATACTGTTACTGTACATGTAAGTGCTTTTGAGTCTATAGTATTTATTTGCCTTTATTGGCAGACCAGTTATTTTTCTATCATGCCTATGCTTTTTATGCAATCTCCAAATATTTTCAAATGCCAACAGACTTGGTTTGCATTTTGTCACTTAGCTACATTGTTTAATATCTGTCTAGCTACTCTCTTTTGCACAA